TTGTTACTATTATTATCATTATTATTATTATTATTATTATTATTATTATTATTATTATTATTATTATTATATTACCTGTAAAGGCTGTTTGACCCAGCATGGATCAAACAAAATGTGTTTGTTCTCGAAACCTAGTTGTTTATGGGTTAAAAGCTTCCACTGCTCGATTGTAAAGTTCCCACCCACTGGTCTGAAAACAAACTTAAGCTAAACCTATTTTAAAGATTAAAAAAATGTTTTTTTTAAGAAGAGCCATTTTTGTTGTTTTTTCGAAAAAGTATTAAAAAAAGACATTCATACACAAGAACAAAATAGATAGACTAGACTCAAGATCAAGATCAACAAACTTAATAAGATCAGTTTAGGTTGTTTACCAATGTAATCTTGCATAATTTGAAATAAACAACATCAAAAATTTAAAAATTCGTTCTTCAAATTTTCTTTTTTGTTACAATGAGTTTTTATGGAAAAATTGTTAAACGTGCTAAATTCTGACAATTTTTTTCTTTGCTTCATAAACCCAAATTGACAATAACAAATGTCAGATAAAAAAAAACAATGATATGGTTACCATTTAAAACTGCAGGTATAAAATAACTCTACGGAGTATAGGAAAAAATGCATTTACAAGTAAAAATAAAAAATAAAATGATACTAATGAATTAATCATGGAAAGCTTGATCTCTCTGGCAAAATCTCCGCCTTTCATTTGCCCTGTACAGCACGTTAATCTTCAGTCTTAGTGATAACTAACTTTTATTTTGGCTTTAGCCCTGGCTGATCCTCCCTCGTGTCAAGCCGTGTTTCAAGCCTATTGGCTTAAGTGTAAAATAAAACCTCAGGTGAACAATGGTTTTGGTTTTCCACACGTTTAAATCAATCTCTAAAAGCATGTTTTCTGGGCTGGCATCTTTTAACAGATAAATATCTTTAACAGACAGAATCTGAATACTGTACAGTGTACATTGGGCTACTTTTCATCAGCCCTGCTTTCTGTCCAATCTATAGCTATATACAAAAGAGCTAGTATGTTGTCCTGTTCATAGGCAATCCAAGCTTAGCTCTGGGAAAGTTTTAGGACTGAAGGCCCTTCACTGAAGGGGTTGCATAAATAGAACTATGCAATCTGAGCTTAGCCCCTGGTCTGTATTAGAACTGAAAGGGGTTACATCAATGGACCTATGCTTATTCTGAGCTATTAAGCTCACACTGGTTACAATATGACTGACTAATAATAAAAAAGTACCAATCTTAATAAGATATGCCAATTAAAACTTAAATTAAATTCACATAAACGAAAAGATTTTTTTCTTTTTTTATAAAAGTGCTTTAATACATTTTCTTGGTAAACTTGGATATGCATCCGAAAATTCTACTTGAAAGGGAAAAATGTTTAAATTTCCTTTATACATGAGATTAAATTTTTCTACTTAAAAGTTGGTATTTAAATTTGTAAAGGTTAGATGGAAGGGGTGTTTATTTTCTCAAAAAATATTTCTCCCTTTCTGAAATTCTTTTTTTCTTAGGGGTTTATTATCTTTTCCGGGAAAATTCAATGAAAATTTGTGAAAAGAATGAAAAAGTATGAAAAAAACTTGCCTTTTCATTTTCATGTCCAATTTTTCAAATTTTTCTCCCCAAATTATCAAAAATCATTTCCCAAGAGAGGGGGGGGGGGTTAATTCTGAAAAGTATACACCCCTGCTGGATACTGAAAGAAAATCTGATTAATCTTTCATTTATTCAGAGAGAAATTTAAAAAGTACTGTATACAGCTGAGCTCTTCTTTAAAACTTTCATTAAATAGAAACATAAATAAAAATTCCAGGCTCTTTCTGGAGTTTAATTTATTTAAAAGTATTTGATTTTTAATTTTGATTTCAATTTTAATCTTATTTTTAAGTGTTTAATTTTGATAAAATGATCTCCATTGTTTCTCACAAAATAATGATTTTTAAAGAAATACATGAAAAGATAATTCCATTTTAATAGGACAAAGTTTCAATGGTACCATTGTGAATCATTCATGCCACTCAAAATTGATTATTTTGTGATATTTTTCAATTGTGGAGCCAATGGCAACGAAGTTATAAGTTATAATTGTTTTTATTAAATTTAACTCTGCCAGATTATAAAAGGTTTAAAAGAAATATTTTTTGACTAATACATTCTTTACAACATATATTATGCATAATTATATTGTATATTGTAAGTTAAAATTATGTTAAAAATATTCAAATTTTTTTGCAGCCCCTTCAAGAAACCCCTAAATTTTTTATAAAGTATAAAAAAATTCTAAAAGATTGATCTTTTTTTGGTTGAAGCATAAATATTACTACTTCAATTCTTTTTTTGTATAGCTAACGTTCTTATGTATATTGAGGGGAAAGACGCAAATTTAATCATTATCTTTTAAGCTCTTACTTACGACGCTATTAATCTGCTCTTATGACAAAAAAATGGTGGACTTCAGGAGGAAAATTTGTAGTTTTATGAAGCAAAAACGCGCTTTTCTGAGGCTGTAACTGTGCTCTTGGGACACAAAAATTGTGCTCTCATGACGCAAAAATAAGCTTGCGAGGAAAAAAATGTCCTTGTGACGCAAAAACGTTCTTCTGACGCAAAAATTGTGTTCTTTTGACGGACAAATTGTTCTCTTATGAGTCTAGATTTATGCTATTGTGACAAACAAATTTTGCTTTTTTGCCGCAAAAATGTCCTTAGGACCCAAAAAAAATCTTCCAAGGCAAAAAAAATCTTCCAAGGCAAAAAAATCTTCTGACGCAAAAATTGTTCTCTCATGGCGGACAAATTGTGCTCTTGCGCCGCAAATATGTTCAATTTTCTACCTTTTACACCAGTAGTCAGTTGGAGCCGTGTAGTATACCATGTTGAGTAGATGAAAGGAAGCAGGAAGCCAGATTATTATTATTATTAAAATACATCTTCTCAGCTGCCACGGTCCCCACCCTGATAATATTAAAAATAATAATAATGATAATAATAATAATTATTATAATAATAATAATGATAGTAATAATAATAATATTAATAATAGTTTCAATAATAATACTCGAGACCAGATTTGATGAATTGCGAGGTCATTCAACTACGTAATTGAACTT